AAAAAAGATAGTCCGCAATATAATTATTCTTTTTTCGACCTGTAGAAAAGGATTGCTGACAATACACATGTAAAAATAATAATAAATTGCTTTATATTTTTATTTGCTCTTCATGTATTTAAAAAAAAAAGGTAATATATAATGAAATACTAACAAAAATGTTCTTCCACTTTGAGCTACCTACTATTTTAATCTATAAGAAAATGTATAAAACGACTTTTTTAATGCCCTTCATAAATTGAATAAGTTTTCTTTAAATTTACCTTTGATTCCAAAGACCTATAGGTTATTGATTTGGTCATTCAATATTTTTTATTAAAAATATATGTAAACCCTCCCGAAACACTACGTCTATGTACGACGTACGATTCCCTTTTCCCCGTCTGGTATATCATGCGTACAGAAGGTGTATTGGTTATACAGTATGAAGGGCGAGTCCATTTTTTAGATAATATGATGTCTATGGTGGTAACTAGTCTTCATAGTGGTAACCAGGGCTACCAGATTCAGTACGTTTGTACTGAATTCAGTACTGTTTCAATTTTTTCAATACATCAGTGTTACGTTGTTAGTTTTAGTACGTTTTTGTTAAAAATAGTCAATTTAGTACCATTTTCAGTACTATTTGGACCAGAGATAAGGGACATAAAGTTAGGAAACGCTCATAAGAAGCCAATGCTTAACAACGACCAGTTAACATCTGACCCACTATGTGCTTTCATCGATTAAACAAATAACGCAGAGGGAAATTTGAGAATCTGATAAAGATACTATAAAAAATATCAATTGCACTCTCATGTTCTGGTAAATAAATTTAAACAATGTAATTACGCTAAATTATTTATTAAAAGAATACTACACTTACAGTCTATTATTGATTAATTATTGTAGATCTATTCATGACAAATATTTTTTAATTCTTGATCCTTATGTGTAACGTTAACATTTTTGTTATTTTCCTCAATAATGAGAATTTAGATATTTTTCTTCCTATATCAAATCCTCTCTCTAACGTTTTGAAGCCATTTTCTTGTTCTAAAACAATACATAATAAATAAATACCAACTTTGCGACAAAAGTTGGCTACTATTTGTGTTACTTACATTGCTAGATTTTAATTTGGTAAATTTAAGAACGCCTCATTGGGGTTGTTAAATTTATTCATGTGGCATGTGTTAATAATGCAATACGTGCTCCGACTTATTGTAATATTACAAAATATATTTTTTCTACGAACTCTTACAAAAAGACACCTTTCGCCACAGGATACTTTCAGCGAAAACTTGATTTCCGTCACTAGTGAGAAAAAATCCCATAACGTTTACTTTCGTCTCTAGTGACGAAAGTAAGTTGTTATATATTTTCATATATCAGTCGCCTCGTATAATATTTTGGCAGCTTATAATTATTAATAATGAAATAAAAAGATGCTCATTAAATTCTATATGCGTTTTAACCTAAACTTTAATGAATTAAAGGTAAAATAAAAATGTATAAAAATAGTGCAAATTAAACCAATTTACACCTAGTTTCCTGGTTTTCATTTGTTTATTTGAAGTTTTATCACTTTTGAGAACTGTCAGTTTCAGTTCGTCCTAAATTTAACACATTTTCATGATGTCTGAGTCAGAAAGTGATTGTACTCCCTCAGAAATTATTTTTAAAGCTGAAGAAACCTCTTCAGATTTATTATCGGCCAAATCAAAAAAGAGATATGAAGAAATTTATATCAAATTTTTGGACTGGAGAGAAAAACATAAAGTGAAATCATTTTCGGAAACTGTACTACTAGCATACTTTGGAGAAATATGTTCAAATTTTAAACCGTCGACGTTATGGTCCATTTATTCGATGCTAAGAACTACACTCTCTGTTAAAAATGATGTCGATATTAGTAAATATCCAAAGTTACGTTCGCTTTTGAAAAGAAAATCTGATGGTTGTAAAAGCCAAAAATCCAAAATTTTTTCGCCTGAAGACATAAAGACTTTCCTAAAGAATGCACCTGACTATAAATATTTAATAACAAAGGTAACGGAATTATTATTTTTATTTTAACAAATACTTAATACAAAACTACTAATATTTGTAGGTAGCATTAGTTTTTGGATTATCTGGCACTTGTCGTTGCCACGAACTAAAAGATTTAACAATAAGCGATGTAAAGGATACTGGAAGTATTCTGTTAGTTAAAATCCGTAATACAAAAACAAAAGTTCCGCGTTCTTTTCATATTTCTGGACCCTTTTATGATATTTCTAAAAAATATATGAGCCTACGTCCCGCAAACATGGATCAAATTAATTCAAGATTCTTTATTAACTATCAGCAGACAGGTTGTTGGAATTAATAAAATCAGTAAATTTCCTAATGAAATTACTCAGTTTTTAACGCTTCCGAATCTCCAATATTACACTGGGCACTGTTTTCGCAGAACATCCGCAACGCTATTAGTGGATGCAGGAGGTGACTTGCTTCAGTTAAAAAAGCACGGTGGTTGGAAATCTAGTAGTGTTGCGGAAGGATATGTTGATGAATCCACGAACAGTAAAAACCAAATACAAACCAAAATTTTACAATCTGTACAAAATAAGGAAACTACTAGTTCATCCGATTATGGCGCATCATCATCTGAAATGACATTTAACAGTAGAACAAATATGTCGGCATCTACCTCAATAAATAAAAAGCTTGAGTGTGATACCCCCATAATTTTGAACAATTGTTCAAATATAACAATAAATCAATATTTAAATAATAAATAATATTTCTGAAATATTTAATTGTTGGTTAAGTTTTTGTTATTCCTAACACAAAATAAAGCATTTGCTAACGTTTGTTTTTTTTCATTTTAGTAGGTACCTACATAACATAATAGAGTTCGTAGAAAAAGTATAGTGATTTACTCGTCGAAAATCATTTTTCGTCACTCGTGAAACAATATACTATATTGTACTCAAATTTCACACAAAAACAATCACAACTATTTCGCTTAGGATAACACAATCATGAACTCAAAATTTAAAATTCAAATTCAGGATTCTACGATATATTTACAACTAATCGACATTTATATTTACAAACTGTTAACTGTTGTCCACGTCCACTGTCTGACTACAAATGACGTGTAACTTTAGTTAACATCTGAGATGTATAGATGACGCCATCGTTGCTGCGGTCGTTGCGTTTTCTACTTAGACTTAAGTCTAAGGTTTCCTAGTAAGAGAAAATCTGGTATGTGGTTTCCTAGTGAGTTTCCTATCTTTATTTCCCTAATCTCTGATTTGGACCTTTTTTTCGAATAGAGTGATATATTTCTTCTTCTTTATTCTTTTATTGGGCTATGTTCTGAGGAACAATTTACCCAGACAACTCATTAGATTGCAGAAAACTATTCACAAAAGTTAATATTAGTGTTAACCGATATGGTTTTAATAGGAGTACAACATGTATAAGGTATCACAAATTAATTTTAAAAATGTTTAAAAACTTAATTAACAGTTCAAAATTTGATTCGTTGAGGTTATAAAGAATAATATAAATATTAAAAGGCGCAGGTAAACCAGTTTTAGCCAATTCACTGTACAAATCAAATGTTGGGGTTTGATTAATCGGACACTCTAAAAAAATATGATTAAGGGATCCAACTTTACCACATTCACAAAATAGATCTTCTTTGACTTCAATTCTAAAGAAGTGGGATGGTGATAAGCAATGTCCAGTTCTCATTCTAATGATATTAGTAAAATGTCTTCTAGTAATAAATCCAAACTTAAATAAACCATGGATACTTTGGTAACTGCGGAACAACTTTGGAGTAAAAAGAATTTTTCTTTTGATTATTAAGTTTAAATTCATCTGACTATTTAGCCCAAATCTGCTGCTTAATAAGAATTGAAAGTTTGCTTTGTTAGGAATTTTAAAAATATGTCGGAGCGGATTTTGTCCAATTAGGTCTCATTTACCTTAGGTGCCAAGAATAGGTGACCTGCTGAAATGAAAACCTCAGAATCAGCATCTGCATAATTAAAAACGTTGACAGTATCATGCAATGTCGTGTTCTTTTGAAGGAGCTTGACAAACTTCAACTGGTTCTGGTTTTGTTTGACAACAGACGAGAAGTTGAAGTACCTGGGAGAGTAGAACGTATTCTGAGAGGTTGCCTTTCCAGGTTTCATGATGTAAATTTTTGATGAATTTGGTGCTTTGGTGGTTAATAGGATCAATAAATTGGTACCCCCCCCCCCCCTAATTATGATAACCGTTGCAAAGTTACCATGGGATTTTTTAATAGGAGTATCTGTTTTAAAGATATGTGGTCTTAGGAAACCGCAAAATGTTTACACCGAAATGAAAAATGTTCCCCGTTTCTAACTATTGATTATGGCTATACCACTAAACTAAACTAAAAATTTTATATACTGTTCGACACAAAATTTAGTACTTATTAATATTTAATGGGATGGCATTTTCCGTACGACGCATAGTTTTTCAGCTACAAGCAAAAATCTGGAAAAGTGCCAAAATTTGGCGACTTTTTCGCTACCAAAAGTTATGCTGATCTCTTGGGGTAGTGCAGTGGGGTAGATTACAGGCATTTAGGACTGAATAGGGGAACTAAACTGATTTCTAGCTTGCTGAAAATTAATTATTTAAAAAATTAATTTGATTGGCCTAGTTCTAAAATATATATTAAGTGCATACACATAAATCTTAATTAAATATTTTGCATACATAATTTTTACTAAAAAATATTACCTTTCATTGGTTTAATTCCTTCAATTTTCTTATGCATGTTGTAAAATTCTATTTAGAAATAAAATTTATTTCACATTTGTTCCTTTTTATACATTTCAATTTAATAATGTCAGTTTAATGTCAGACTAATGTTTGTTAATGTCGTCATTAATTATTTATTAGATTGAATATTTATTATGAAAAGATATTTGAGAATTATGAATCCATTACAGAGCTATAATTAAAAGATCAAAAGAACTTACTTGAAGTTCGATCGTAATTATATGACGCTTCCAATAATTCTAAGACATCAACTCGTAGTCCGTCCCTGGTACCACTTCTCGCTCGTCTTTAGAGAAATGACAGACTACCTTCCTCTCTCTACTAACCGCTGCTCTGTCCAGTGCCGAATTAGCGGTACACTAGGCTCCAAGCTAAAAATGACTTAGGGCCCCTCCCTATCCAGAACAGTCAGCATATTTTATGGTGGACTTTCCTTTGATAGAGTAAAATTTGAAACAAAAATAGCTAATTATTTAAAAAAAGTACATCCAAAAGCATTAGCTTAAAACATGTTCATTAAAAAAGAGGATATAATAAGGTGGTAATGTGTATTCAAATTAATACTCGTTTTCGTGATTTCATTGGGATTTGCGACGAAATTGAAAAACAATATTTTACTGCGTAGCTACATCGTTGTTAGATACAGGTCGAAACTAGTTTTCTTTTAAACTGGGACACCCTGAGCATTGAATCTAGGTTGTGTGCAATTCTAATGGTCTATGCACATTAGCCGGTCAAGGCATGGTCAAGTCACGGTCCGGTCACGATCAAATCTTTTTGAAATCATTCACATTATTGGGTCATGTCATCGTCATATTCGACCAGTTTTTCAAATGTACAGGAGTGTACAAATGTGCATGAGTGTATTTTTCAGGTATTTTTGTTTGCGGCATCGCGACCTGCGATCTTAAAAAATATTTTTAACTTCATTAATTAAAATCGCATTTATTTTGGAATCGGAAAAAGAACAGCAAAAAAATATAAAAAATAAAAGAAAAATCGAAGGTGAATTTTTTACTTTGCATGAAAAACTTATGGATGATGAAACAAATTTTTTTGTTTATTATAGAATGCGAATTCATCATTTTTGACAACAGACTTGTTGTAAATTTTGGTAAACGTTGTCGGTGTTGTTCATCTAGCCCATTTTAATATAGAATCTACAAATATAATTAGGTGGTTATTATCATTATTTTTAATCTTCAAGTTTTTAAGAATTGAATATAATTTGCATCATTTTCTTTATAATAAAAATTCAGATTAGATTTGTTTAAATTAGAAATATATTTCAGATAACTCCAGAGTATATTGTGCTCCTTTTAAGCCGTGCAATACAAACACGATATCATAAAATTGTACAAAATTATTTGTTATTAAATTGTATGATAATAATGAAATAAGACATTAAAGTTGATATTGTAATTGGTATAATCTTCTTATTAACTTTAAAAAAACCTGAAGCTGATATGATAGGGCTCAATTCTTTTATGAAATCTGTCATTAGTAATAGTTGATGTGTCATTATTGGATCCACTACACTTCTTTGTAAAGTATAACATAATCTGACAAGGTTTTCTCCATTCTTCTCAATTCTATCGCAAGAAAAAATCATTGCTAATGGATATGCCTGAAAATAACTCATTTTTAACAGTTAAATCACAATTGGTCAATGTTTAGACATTTTTAGTTCATGAAATATAGCTATTAAAAGTATTTTAATTGTCACCCTGTATATATTCTAAGGTTCTATAATTACAGTATTTTGTTTCTAAAACAATTCTATAAAAAACAATTGTAGTGAAGGTCAATGAAGTGTTTATAATGACCAGAGGGGCATTAGTAATCACATTTATTTTTATATTACCATTTATTTTTATTTAAAATTATTAAATTAATAACTAACTACTTACAACCATAAAAAACCAGTAAATCATAACGACATGCAAAAAAACGGGAGTATTCTTTCCCGAATATCCGTTTTTGAAAGTACTAAGTAAGACATTCAAGATAATCATGGTAATTATAAATGTCATAGCCAAAGTAATTAAAATAAACTTTCCAAAAATGTAATTAAAATTGTTTGATATCAAAAAAATATTCTTGCATACATGTTTCATAGAATTAACATCGGTTAGAAAATTGTTTTTTGAGATCATTGGATTTATATAGGCTTCTTCAATCATATTGTATAAATATTGATTCATTTTATTTAGAATATTTGATATTTCTAATACAATAAGTATTATAAGAATATTTTGTGCGAAAGTACCAGCAAAATAAATTACAACTACTATTTTTAGAAAACTGCTTTCTAAAACCATAAATAAAAAGGTTACTCTGTAACAAACCGCTGCTAAAAAGAAAACCAATTTGATAACTACCCAAGGAGTTTTTAATTTAGTACCAGCAATTTTACTATTCATTGAACTTAAAAGACCTAGCATTATTTTCCAGTTTTTTTTATCGTTTATCAATCCAATAATTACCAGTACTGTGAACATGTTATACAAGCTTGTAATTATATACATTGAGATACCATATTTGTTAACTTCATCAATTTTTCCTACTAATAGATACAATTCTGCTGAAAGTGAAAATGCGTAAAAAATAAATGTGCAAGTCAACAATAGCTTTTTGTTGATTTTGTCAAAATTAATAGGAAATAGCAGCATGTAAAGACTCATTTTTAAATAAAAATTTAGAACATTTTGGTTTTCTGTTTTGGTTTTGTTAGTGAACATATCTTATGGAGTTAAAAATGTAATATAAAACCGGTATAGGTTTTAATTTTTTCGAGTGCCGAATAATATAAATGGCAAAATAATAATAGGTTTCTCCAAAACAAGGCAATTACTTTAATGATATATAATGTTTTGTCCTACAAAGCTTTTATAACGCAAAAAGAAATTTAATCATGATTATGTATTTACAACCATTGAAGAAAAATATATTCACCTATTCAAAATTGAAATAATAAAATATATCGTTAAAATTTTCTCGACCTTTTCTGTCAGGCTCCATTTCAATCCCTTTTAATTTTATCAATTTATATATTTTTTGTATTTTTTAATCTTAAGAATTAAAATAGTCACATACAAACATTGTTACAATCAATATAAGGTTATTTTGATAAAGAAAACATTAGTAGTTGGTTATTATCACTTTACTATTATTTAAGTTTTTAATAACTGAACATTTGACCAGTGCAAACACGCCATCATAAATATGTACAAATTTATTTTCTATTAAATTGTATGATAATAATGAAATAAGACATTAAAGTTGATACTGTAATTGGTATTAACTTCTTATTTACTTTAAAAAAACCTGAAGCTGATATTATAGGGCTCAATTCTTTTACGAAATCTGTCATTAGTAATAGTTGATGTATCATTATTGGATCCACTACAGTTCTTTGTAAAGTATAACATAATCTGACAAGGTTTTCTCCATTCTTCTCAATTCTATCGCAAGAAAAAATCATTGCTAATGGATAGGCCTAAAAATAAAAAAATAACTTGTTTTTAATTAAAATATTATGTATTTTGAACAGTTTAATCACAATAGGTAGATATATTCGCTCCGTGTGTGACAGCAGTGCCAATTCATTTATGTACTAATGGACTATTTTTGCCTATATTGACAATACAATTTACAATAGAATTTATAATTATAAAGTATATATGTTGGTTTTAATAAAAGTATATAGATTTGTAAAACAAGTAAAATATTAATTTATTATTATTATGTATTTTTATCGCTTTAACTAAAAAATATTAGATATAATCAATAAAAATCAATAATAAAATATAGGCAGGCAACAGTATTTATGGGAAAATGTATGAGAAGTTGCCTAAGTCTAATAAGTTTTCTTTATAGAATTAACCTATTTTAAAAAATAACATTAAATAATACCGTGGAGTTAAAATGTATAAACAGAAGAACTATTATTTATATTTTCATTTTCGTTCGAAAGAAAACGTAGAAACTGGTTTCTCATGAGTAAGTCACAAAATTGCATTCCAGTCACATACAATAATCAAAGGCAAAAATCTGGTTCTGACTGAACATTTAAGATTAAAGGAATGTTGAACAACATCGTAAAATGATAATTTATTGTTTATTTAAAACCTTTCAAGTTTCCGATCTCTACTATTTCCAGTATTACTGTTATTATTACAAAAATGAATGTAATTTTCCTTCTTATTATACACCTTGTGACGAAGTTACTAAATTTTATTTTTAATTAATTTTAAATTGTTTATTTTAATTAATTCCCATCTGAGGATATGTATTTGTGTTTCCAAGGAATTCCTGTTTTTAAACAATTGCGAGTACCCTCGTAGGTTAAAATATTTCCATATTTGCCGAAATCCGAATGGGAATTTGTAGATTCAATTTCGTATTAATTATCTACTTGTATTTGTCAAGGTACTAATAGGACATTTTTTATTCTAAAATTGTAAACAGTCGGCTGTACTGCCGTCCTAAGAAAGAAGGCAGTATCTCCAGAAATGTTAGTTTCGATATAATGCATATTTTGGTAAACGCAGCTGCGCCACCATCAAAATATTTATGGATTCTCGAATTTTTTGACTGTGTTGTAGTTTTTCTCGGCGGTTACTGCTTTTAAGTAAGTTATATTATTAGACACGGTGAGAATGAACTGCACTAAAAAGCAGTAAATCCTATTAGTTGGCGGTTACTGCTTTTTAGTGTAGCAATAACAAAAAGAATTTATTTTATTAACTTTATTATTCAAGAACTCTCTTATCAGTGAATGTAAAATTACATTATAAATTATTTTTTTAATTTTTGTTCAAAACCCTCAAACTTACCGTGGTCGTCTATGTTATTGTACAAATCGTCTAAAAAGACCGTTAGACGTAAAATGTGTCCCTGTTTATGTTTCCTCTGGGAAAAAAAAACAAAAAAAAACAAAACAAAAAAAAAAACAACAAAGGGAATTTAATAAATAAATGATAAAAAAAAATTGGGAAAAAAAAATATATATATTAAATTTACTTATATTACAAATTTTAATTAGTAGGAATTACATGAAAATAAAACATTCTAAAATCAAAATAAGGACTAAAAACGATAAAGATAGGCGAATGGATGTAAAATCCGCAGTGATAGAACCCCAAACAAGCAAGTAACAAGCAAGTGTTTGCTATAAAGTGGTCACATCATTAAACTCAATTGTATATATTTTTTTAAAAACAAATACTTTATTAAAC